CCTTGGGATAGGTGACAAACTAATTTCTATAGTCCATATACCTGGAAAGACAGTTTTATGAATATCGTTAGAATGTAGCTGTGTAGAAAATTTAGTTGTATGTAGAACTGAGTTGCCCAGAAGAATCCACAGCACACATTAAAAGTATATACTTGATTTTGGTTGCCTAGTTACCCTGGCTGGGTATCTAAGAGACTCTGTTGGAAATTTGGGAAACACTGAAGAAAGTTATGTAATAGCGTAAAATTTAAATCACATTATTTTTTACATTTAAAAATGGGAGTGACATCCAAAGAGATTTCTCTAGATTTCATTCTCATTTTTAAGTTTAGAGTATTAAAAGGGAACCAGTGACTATCCTCATTACTGAAACAAAATTATGCCTTTAGATTGGCAGAATATTTTATGCTATGATTAGAACTGGGCTCAGAAGAAATTGTGACCCTTGCACAATGATTTTATTTCTTAATTTCCTTTTCAAAGCTATACATCTTTCCTGGAGCATCAGAACTCTGAATCATGGAAGAAAGTAAATTGATTCTGTATTCTTCAACCCTGCAATTTGGCAGCAAGAATATTTTTTCCTAAAAAATGACTCATTTACAAAGAGACTTTGTGTGAACGTGGAAAAGACTTTCATACTCTCAGAAATCTTGCAGTTGGGGGAAGGGTGGGTATTTGGACCTGCTAAATTTGCAAAAGGGCAAAATTAATGTTGAGTAGTATTAATTGGTCTATGACAATGTGAAAGTTGCAGTTCTACAAGAAAACACAGGAACACCTGTATTCCCAAAAAGAAAAACTCAGTAGCCTATATGAAAAGCTTATCATTTGTCCTATTTCAGGGCTTTTTTTTTTTTGGTTTTAATGTACCCTGCTATGAGTCAAGCAATGTTTTTTATTTTTTGCTCCTCTTGGAAAGTGTTCTATGTTGTAATATTCCTCCCTGTTAACCTTTATTTTCCTGATTTTTAGTCCAAAATTTGTTTTACTGAATTTCATCCAACTTCTCCTGGTGATTTGCCTTGGGATCCCCCAGCTCGGATGTGGTTTTGGTTTTTCTTTATTTTGTTGCTAATCATGTTTCCTCTAGCGCTAAAATAATCCTTGAGCTTCTTGATACAATTAAGTTTTCAAGAATGCATCTTGTATGTTAGGAAAACAGCAGTCAGCTGGTTCTTATATAGTGGGAAGCATTGATTATTCCTGTGCTGCGGTTTTTCTAAAGACAAAGCAAACAGGCCCCTCAAAACACACAGGACCTTTTTACACGTTCAGCATTGGATCTGTACATGTGCTGAAGAAAGCTTAAGTCATGATGTGATGCCCAGCCGTGTCATTCCTCATGCTCTGATGGTGGCCCTTAAAGCTAAAGAATAAGGTTCTGCAGAAGCGATCTATGGCTTTGTACACAGTCATTGAGTCTAAAGAAAAGAAAGAAGCTCACCTTCACTGAGATTCTAACACCTGTCAGACATTTTCACCTGTGAGTCCGTTGATTTACTGTTATTCCGGTTTATGGTCAGAAGCTGAGGCTTAGCTCTGTAAAATGGCTTAGCTGGAGTCCCACAGAAAGTCAAGGGAGGAGCAAAAATTCAGCCCCAGGTCTTTTCCAGTTTTAAAATTCATTGTCTTTCCACTTCACTGTGTTGCCTCCCTAGACTTGAGGATGTGATGAGTGTGCCTGAGGTCACATTATGAGTCAGAGGTGAGCTGGGAACACTGTCTGGGGTATCTCCACATTGCCTTAATCTATTAAAATGTAACACAATCACTTACTCCTTCCTCAGAGGGGAGAGATGCCATGGCAGCGTTTGATCTACTAAAGATTAACTTTCTGAAAAAAGTAATAAAGCGCATATGACATTTGGCTTAACTTTTGAAAAAAAATGTGAAAGCAAAAATTCATTAAATGAGAACGATTGCTGATGACCAATCATTTTGATACATAGTCAATTTCCGTGGTGACTTTCTTTTGAGGAATTTTATTAACATTTCTTTCCTCTGGGTCCTCAGAATTCTAAGCAATTTAAAACAAATCTGGGAACTTCCCTGATGATCCAGTGGTTAAGACTCCGTGCTTCTACTGCAGGGGACATGTGCTCAATCCCTGGTTGAGGAACTAGGATCTCTCATGCTATGCAGCCAGTGATTATAATAATAATAATAATAATAATAATACCAGCACATACTAGACATGCAATAAATGCTAGCTATTAAAAATAAAGCAATAAAAATATGATCAAACTAGTCTGGCACATGGAATTCTTGAATCTGATTAATTGTTCTAGAATCCTAGGACTGGATGTGTCATGACGTATTTTCTGATGAGAGGGTATTTCTACCTACTTGGTCTAGTATGTAACTTTTGGCAATTTCTCAGTTTCATCATTTGCAAATGGGGATAATCTAGAACTGACCTTAAAAGGTGGCTGTGAGGATTAAGTAGATTAACATATATGAACATATATATAGTCTAGAACATGATTAATACTGTATAAATTATTGGTACTATTATTTTTTCCAATAATAGGAGCATGTTGTAAGTCATGTCACTCTCTCCGGATTGTGCATGCAGGGTTTTGAAGGATATAAAGAGCATCTTTGGCATTTTTAATGGACCTGGTTCTGTATAGGCACGTGCTAGCAGTGGCAGCTGAAAAGCAATTCCAGGCCCATCTGATTCTAAAGGTAGAAAGAAGGAAATTCAGTGATGATTGGAGTGGCAGAGATTCCAGGCTGAACAAGCTGCGTCCATGGCTTTTATTTCTCCTCCCTGATCTTGAGAGCATGAACCATGTGGTGTTACTAATAGTTTCAATTCCAGAAGCTGCTCAAGCAAACATGGTTCCTTGGGAAAAGAGATTTTTTATACTTGCATTCTGTGTGGATGACTTGGAGGTGAATTTTTCCAACATTTGATTGACAAAATATGTAGCAGATGCTCTGTTCAATGATATATAGAAATAAATGATTCTTTGTCTTTCATCTCAAGGGGGTAAAATCCAGTGACACAGAGACAGTGCCATCCTAGAGAGCAGATGGTGGGTTTGGAAATGGCAGGTTGCTTTGTATGGAGTTTGAAGAGGTTCGTTTTGAGACTTGTTCATGGGGTGGAGTAAAATGTTTAAGGAGGGGGCCAGTGGACTCAAGAGAAATATAAGTTTAAAGAATACTGGAGAAGACATAATGATACATTTTGTGAACCAGCAAATGGGGAAAGATTGATGGTTGATGATAGAAATCATAGTCACCCTCATTCTGGGAGTAGCTGAGAGCATTTTACAAAATGAGAACTGCAGTGTATATAAAAGGAGAAAAATAATAATCTGCGACTGATCTTTCTGAGGCCCTGTTATTGTTGCTATTATTGTTATTAGAGTTAGCAAAGGATAGTAAAAGGAATATTTGAAATTGGAATGGAAAAGCAGGGAATTCTGATGTCTCTAAAATTGCAGCTGAAAATGTACTGACACATGACTGAGTGGATACAAAGATCCATGCAGACACTCATGAATAGCCATGTGGGAATGACGCTTTGGGGTTTAAGAATGAGGGTGTTATTGGAGACATTAATGAGATCTGTGCTAATAGTTATTGGCAATAGAAAACTGTGCCTGAACAGTAAGGTCTGAGAAAGATGGGATGTGAATAAACAGGGAATGTTTGTAGGTGCCAGGTGGTCCAAGTCAACCCAACACTGATCCTGGGAAACTTGGGACAAGTGTTGAGGGTCTGAAGTTTGTTTTGGAGTTTAGTGACCACGCAGGGAATGAAGATTGAATAGTCTGCATCTGTCTGAAAAAGTTGTGTTTTACCAAGTTTCCAAATTCTGGAAGGATGTATAGGACACAAGGGATTTGAAAGTGACCTTAGCAGACAGCTCAGCCTTGGGAGTTGGGGGGGGGGGCACATCATAGCCATGTTTGTGGGGTGAACTTTCTAAATAGGCAACCCAAAGTCTGTTATAGACTTATCCTGAAGAATAGCATTCATCCAGGTATAATTTATTGCAGATGACCACAATCTGGTTTTTCCAGTGGTCATGCATGGATGTGAGAGTTGGACTATAAAAAAAGCTGAGCGCCAAAGAATTGATGCTTTTGAACTGTGGTGTTGGAGAAGACTCTTGAGAGTCCCTTGGACAGCAAGGAGATACAACCAGTCCATCCTAAAGGAGATCAGTCCTGGGTGTTCATTGGAAGGACTGATGTTGAAGCTGAAACTCCAATACTTTGGCCACCTAGTGCAAAGAGCTGACTCATTTGAAAAGACCCTGATGCTGGGAAAGATTGAGGGCAGGAGAAGAAGGGGACAGCAGAGAATGAGATGGTTGGATGGCATCACCGACTCGATGGACATGGGTTTGGGTGGACTCAGGGAGTTGGTGATAGACAGGGAGGCCTGGCGTGCTGTGGTTCATAGGGTTGCAAAGAGTTGGACACGACTGAGCAACTGAACTGAACTGATAATCAGGTAGTTTTAAAATGTGTCACATTTGTTTAATCCTCCAATCCTAGATGGTTTTCTTTTGAATACATTGAATGTGTTTCTAATGTGCAGAACATTTCTCCAGGAACTCTGAACATTGACTCTGTATTTCCCTCTCAAAGCCTTCCTTTGCAGTGAAGCATTTCTCGATAATTTTATTGAGCTAGAGATATTTAATACCATTTTCCTAAAGACTGGATGGTGTGCATTCCTTATTAAGCATTTGCCCCTTTGTAGTTGTGGTTTCTTAAACTTCTTAAACAGTCATGAAGTGAAATTGTAGGTGTGAGAAATGTGAGAAAGAGTGAATTCTGAAATGGAAGGCTGGGAATTCCCTGGAGGTCCAGTGGTTAAGACTCTGTGCTTCTACTATAAGGAACACGGGTTTGATCCCTGGTCAAGGAACTAAGATTTCGCATGCTACGTGGGAAACCAAAAAGAAAATCGAAATGGAGTGCTGCCCTTTGTGAATATGATGAAATAATTATTTCTTATTTCCTTCTCTTCAGGGATATCAGGGAATAGCAGGATCACCAGGTGTTCCAGGATCCCCGGGAATACAAGTACGTGGTCTGTGTATTCATATTTTAGCAGTACTGTTTCTAGTGAACCAAAGAACATAACTAACAGAATTTTATTTTGTGGTTAATTTAGGGAGCACAAGGACTGCCAGGTTACAAAGGAGAACCTGGGAGAGATGGAGAAAAGGTAAATACACACAAAGGCATATCTGGTTGTTTCAGTGACTCAAAGACAAAGGCTGTTACCTGTGAGGACCCCCATTCAATGGTGTTCATCCTGGTGAATTCCAAGATTTTGGCTCAGAAACGTCAGGGACTATTGGCTGATCAAGCACACAGGAGGCGTTTATCACCAGAACAAAGTGGTTGTCCCTAGATGACCACTGCAGATGGCGCAGGTATTTGCCTTGCCCTGGTACCGTCTTCTCTGTCTGTGGTTAAGGTCCACAGGGAGCTGCCTTCTTAGAGAGAAGAGAATTATATGAATGCAGTATGTTCCCATATTAGTCACCTATAGCCATTTATTCATCTCTACTATAGAAACCCATTTTAGTCTTACTGGGTGGACTTCTTTCTCCTATAGGGATTCCGTGGGTGCAAACATTTGTCTAACTTTCCTTTTCTACAGCTGTGAGATTTGCTATGTTTATTTATTAATTTTGTTGAGAGTGTTTTTTTTTTTTTTAGGTGCTTGGGGGTATTTAATATATGTATTCATTCAATTTTTTCTTTAATTGGAAGAACTATGTTCTTTAAATTTGTTCAATATTTTAGTACCTCCCCAAGGATCCAGTCCTGGATCCAGGACACTGGTCCACATCCAAGATGGCCATTTGGATTTGCTCAGATCCCCAAGATGATTTGTTGGCTTAATTCCTAAAGCACAATCTTATTTCTGCATTCTTTGAAGACTCTTCTGCTGTTTGCACCTGATGAAAACTTGTGCTTAATTTTCTAGCTACAATCCTTGCAAAATGATTGTCTTTTAAAAACAGGGTGCATGGCATTCACACCTGAGAAACACTGATCTGGACTCCATCCATTTAATATTTTTGTGGTTGTTCATACTGGTTATAAGAAATTGTAGCTGCTCAAGTTCTATCTCTGGATGGACCCCCTGGCAGATCTCATGATGGGGGTGCTGCTTTCAAGCTGTTGATCTTGGCTTGTGATTTGATGTCTTTGAATATTATTTTGTTTGTTGAATCAATGGGGATTTCTCTATAGGTTTATATCACAAAATAAGTGTGATAACATATGAAAAATACTTAGTGTGGTCCCTGGTACAGGATTTTCCTTAAATAAATGTTTGTTGTTTTATTGTTCTGTTCTGTTTACCAAGGAATGAGGTTGTGGTTGGGTTGTTGCATGGGAGTGGCTGACATGTGTCCTGGGCAGGAAGTTTTAGGGCAAACAGGACAGTTAGTGACCGAAAAACATACAGAGAAGGTGGAATTGGTTAGGGGAGCTCTGTAATGTGGGGGGAGCCAGGGAAGACAGAGCAACAACAGCAGTTGATAGAATTCTGGCAGAAATGGTACAAAATCTTCTTGCCTCTCAAGGGACCTTGGCCTCTGTGAATGTTTTTAGCCACTGGCAATCTCTGCCTATTTTAAATGATGAAGGTGCATATTAGGAGGTGATAGAGAGCAGGCCAGGCCCATAGGTATGGAGATGTTTTATATTTGTATGCTCTGGGCTATCATGAGAGACCCCCAACTCCTCTAGGAGAATGAGGGATCCCACTGGGAAGCGGCAGCTATTTGTTCCGAGACCACGTGCTGGTCCCCTCACTCTGTTCTAGTCTACAGGATCATTGCTGTTTCTTTAATGTGTTCACAAGTAGCCTGATTCAGGCATGGGGTGAATATATAAAAGTATGCATGCATGAATAAATGTATTCAGGAATGGATAAATGAATATATTTATTTAAATATTTTTGTGTTGACTTGGGTTTAAATGGTGGATTTGTATTCATTCATCACAAAAGAATTGGAGTAAAACACCTTATTTAAACATAAAGAACAGTAATCTACAAAACAAACAGACCCACAGACACAGGGAACAGACTTGTGGTTGTCAGGGGGAGGAAGGATGGAGGAGGGAGAGAGTGGGAGGCTGGGGTTAGCAAGTGCAAGCCCTAATAAGAGGAATAAATAACAAGGTCCTACTGTATGGCACAGGGAGCTATATTTAATATCTGCTGATAAACCATAATGGAAAAATATGAAAAATATAAATATATACACACACACATACATATATGTATATACATATCATATATAGCAGCATCAGTTTGCTATATACCAGAAACTAACACAACATTGCAAATCAACTATACTCCAATAAAATAAAAATTAGGGGAAAAAAGAACACTGATTCTATTAGTTGCCTCTTAAACTACCTGCTCTATCATTTTGAGTCATTATATTATCTTTAAAATAAAAGTGAATGACTCTCACAAAGCCATATATTCTAATGAAGAAGACAAAATGAATAAGGTATATGTTTATATAAATTTCTCTGTTTTCAGCCTAGTAGTGATTTTGTTCAGTGTTGTTTTCTGAAGGTCATTGTTTGGGCGTCAACTCTGGTGGACGTAACTATGGGCCTAAAATCCCTATGTGTTGCCCCTAACTTCCCTCCTGACGTCTTATGTGGCTCTGAGAATTTCTTTACTTGAGAACTACAATAATTTAGTGAGTTAAAGGCTTTTCCTTGGTTCTTTCTCCAGAATGTTCAGCAGAGGGAAGGTTGAAAACATACCCTGGGGATGGCCTTGACTTGTGGTTGATCAGGGCATTTTTTCCAGGCATCACCCATGGCCTTCAGGGGATTGTTCCACATGTACTGTTCTCTACAGGGATATTTTCCCAGAATAATTTCCATTTTGTGGATTTCCACTGAAAACTCCCATGGGAGTTTCCACTTAAGATAATTAAAATTATATGCACTTTCTTGCTGACTGTAACATTTGTTCCTCACATATCAGACAAGAGAATGTATATAGATTTTGTATGGTTTCTTTTTCCCTGAATTTACAAAATTAAGAGGACATCTTATCCACCAAATGGTCTTCAACTGATGACTTTTGATCCAAAGCTATTCTTTGGTCTCTAAGAAATACTTTAACTACTTCAAAGCACTTCCCCAACCTTAAGGAAGACTAATATATTTAAATCATGTGGAGAAATATATTTTGTTAAAGCACATTAACCTGGGTTGATTAACTGATGTATATTTATGGCTTTTCTAATTGACTATGAAACTTTGCATGGAAAATGCAATTCTGGAGACACAGGAAGCATTAATAATTTTTTTAAACTAGCCAGACTTTGTTCAAATTCATCATTTGATTTTTCAGGGTTTAAGAAAAAATACATCTTAATTCTAACTAAGGTTATCTTTATGAAACCAATTATATACACTGTGTTTAGTACCTTCATTAGAGCATCAGACACTTGAATTGTTCTTTCAGCATTTCCCTGTCCAGTTGCTCTCAGCATCACATCAGGGCATCATGTGATGAGCGAGCCTTTCTTAGATGAATAAGCCTCATTATCTAAGCTTTGAAAGGCAATGTTATCTATTACACAATCAAGGAATTCCAATATATATATGTTGAGAATAGTAATAAAGGACCAAGCTGAAAGTGTTATTAGGAAATAATATTTTAAAATCCAGCATTCCAGTGGCTTTACTTCTTCATCTCTCACCTCTAGCAGTGTTCCTGAGGATAAAAAAATTGTTTTTTTATAAAATTGAAATGAAGCCAATAGTGACATAGGAGGAAGAAATAGAACTGGCTTAGGAAGGGGCCACTTTTTACTTCTTTTTTCTTCATTTTCCTTCTTTCTTAAATAGGGAGAGTAATCTGCCCATGTAGATTTCTGATAGCCCAGTGGCCCAAACATGGATGTGTGCACATGTGTGTTGCATGGTGTTGGAAGGCTTAATGCAGTGACAAGTTTCAGGCTGTACCCTGAATTCAGACTGCTTCACCTTCCTAGTCATGCTTCTTAATCTCTTTAAATCTGTTTTCCCAAATCTAGAAAGTTGGGCTATAAGTATTTCTTCATAGCCTTGTTGTGAAGACTAACTAAGGCCATGCATATGCTTGACCAGAATTAAACACTGTAAATTAGAGATGATGACCAGGATCATCATGGTGGTTTGTAAATTGCCCCCCCAAAAATTGTGAATGAGTTTGCCCATTACTGTTTCTCTGCGTATCGAATCGCACCTTCAGGAGCACCGTGAGCCTTGTTTTGCTCCCTTTACCCTCGTTGACGTGTGTGTTCCTCTGTTTTGCCCTCTCCTGTTGCCACGGATGAACTGTCTCTGTATAATGCCCAGCCCACCTATGTGCTCGAGATCTCATCCTTTTCTATTACTGTGTTATTCATTAGCCCTGCTCTTCTGTGCCACAGGCTTTTTTATTTTCTTTTTTTAAAAAAATTACTGAAATAAAGTTGATTTACAATGTTGTGTTGAGTTCTTCTGTGCAGCAGAATGACTCAGAATGACTGAGCAGAATGACTCAGTCATGTGTCTGTGTCTGTGTATATACATATGTGTTCTATGGGCTTCCCAGGTGGCGCTGGTGGTAAAGAACCAGCCTGCCAATACAGGTAGACATAAGAGAAGTGGGTTCGATCCCTGGGTCTGAAAGATCACCTGGAGGAGGGCATGGCAACCCATTCCAGTATTCTTGCCTGGAGAATCCCATGGACAGAGCAGTCTGGTGGTCTTTAATTCATAGGGTTGCAAAGAGTCAGACATGACTTAAGTAACCTGGCATGCACGCATGTTTCACATGATGTGATACATATATGCATTCTTTCTCATATTCTTGCCCATTGTGGTTTCTCCGCAGGATATTCAGTACAATTGTCTGTGCTATACAGTAGGGCCTTGTTTTTGCATGCTATAGTGCATCTGCTAATCCCAGACTCCCACTCCATCCCCTGCCTCCCTGGCAACCCCCAGTCTGTTCTCTTTGTCTGTGAGTTTGTTTCTGTTTCATAGATAAGTTCATTTGTGTCACATTTTGGATTCCACATATAAGTTATACTATATGGTACATGTTTTCCTCTTTCTGGCTTACTTCACTTAGTGTGATAATCTCTAAGTTCATCCATGTTGTTGCAAATGGCATTATTTCATTCTTTTTTTGCTGAGTAACAT